CACAGTAATCGTTAGTCGCTAAAGAACGTCAAATTTAATGCAGTTTCGGTCTTGTGCTGTCGACACCAAAATAAACTGTTCTTCCTAGCAGAGAGCAAACTCTGCCACTTTCTAACTTATTAACATCCTACTTAGTTCGGTGAGACAAGATCCTTCAAAGTAGTACACTGAAACATCACCAGTACGTTAAATTTTATATAAAGTTCAAAACTTTTTAAGGTCTAGAGATGGGACTCAATCCAAGCTCTCGAAAATTTGCCCTTGATTTGAAGATCACGTACAAAATGTAATTATGGACAAAATATAATTAAAATCAAAACAAAAGTGTACGTATATTTGTGAAAAAATAAATAAAAATGTCTTCTTTATAGAATAGAATATAATGATCTGAAGAAAAAGAGCCTAAATTATGCCCATCAAAATATTCTATCAATAAAAACTACATCAAAATCGTCTGTTTGCCCGTTCCAGAGAACAGCGCAGACACACAGACAGTCACACAGACAGACAATGGCAGACAGACACAAAGACAAAGACAAACAGAAATACAGACATAAAGACAAAGACTGACAAACAGACAGAAATACAGACAGAAAGAAAGACATAAAGACAAAAATAAAGCCAGACAGAAAGACAAAGACAGACAGTCAGAAAGACACTAATAGAAGACGTATAGACAACAGACATTTAGACAGTCAGACAGTCCAACAGAGAAGCAGACAAATATTATAACTAATGGTGCTTCAGAATTTTGCAGACTTTCTCGTCGTAGTTATCTTGGTCGTAGTCTGGGCTAGCTTTTCGGATTTGTCCCACCTTTTTTCCAGCTTCCTGAAAGACATTTTTACTTTCTTGATACGGAGTAGAGAAAAGGTATCTAACGCTGCGCGAAAATAAAACGGCAAATTTGGGGCAAAAAAACTCTTTTTTCAGGGCCCTGTTAACGAAAAAGTAAATTAATCCAGTTGCTAAATTTAGACAAAAAGTCCCCTAGCAAGCGGTGTAGCCAGAAATTATGTTTTGTGGGTCATTGATAGAGAAATATCAATTGAGGGCAAAACGGCCGAACCCACCTCTTCAAGACCTAAGCGAATAAATATGTGACATGCTTACTATTGGCTGTCAAGGATAGTGTATTTTCAGAACGTATTTGCCATCTGGCTACCGAATTCTTGCATTGCTCCCAGAAAAAAATAGTGCGAGTACATTATTTGCAAACGTATTTCTTCGCTAACTCTGGCGGGACCACCTACGATAATTTTAAATACGTTTTCATGGTCAAAAAATTGGATAATGAGTTGTCAGTGTTATCATTATGAATAATTATTAGTCACGACTACGCTTGTCCTTTGTACAGGAGGTACCTGGGAACCCTAATCTTTTCTTGCAATACATACGTCATATTACGTTTCGTAGAGAATTAGTATTAGGAGAACAAATGTTCAATGACGTTTTAAAATGCTTGGAATGCTTATAGTACATGTATTGGCAGATATTTTGAAAAATTATGTCCATTTTAGATTCATATTCAAAAATGTACTTGATGACATGATGGAAATGAAGAGGATAAATTGAATTTAAACGACTATTCTGCACTATACATCTGCTCTCTAGAACAGCTTGCATCTAACGCATGTTTGGAGCATTACAACCTAAACATCTCACTGCATTAGCAATCGTTAGAAAACACGTGTATAACATCCAAAATAAATCTTAAATAAAGAATGAACTACAAAATGCAATTAACGATAATTCTATATTAGTATTTTGATTGAAAATGTAAATAAAGAGGGATTCCTGCTAAAAAATCTCTTTCTACATTAATATACCCTCTTTTCTCTGCCCTCACAAAATAAATAGAAAAAATTTGTAAAAAAGTATAAAATTTAATTAAACCTACTCAATACTGCTAAATTCAACACGATTCTAAAAAAGTTGCAGATAAACGTTGAAAGAAACATCCTTTTTCTTACATATTTTCGAAAAATTCTCTTTATTTCAGGGGAGTTTGTGCTTGCTGTTTGGAGATAAAAAGTTTACACATACAGGTTTAAAGCGGAAGGACAAGAAATTTAAATCTTTTTTAGGAAATGAGTATTTCCCTGAAATATAGATACCTAATTTTTGGGCGTCGATAATGAGATTTCAGTATTATCTTAAGAATAAAATCATTAAGTGAGTAAGTAAAATCTGAAGGAGTAGTAAAAACAGTCATGAAACGTTTGTTGGTTTGTAAACAGTCTGAAACTTTGCTAAACAGTCTGAAGCGCACCACCTCAACGCAACAAATACAAACATTTTATTCGCACAAGTATTAAAACTAGTTTGTGAGGGAATTAGTTATTAAAAACATTCGTGCATTAAATAATCTAATACAAATTTCAAAAACTCAATGTTACTTCAAATAGATCTACTACAGATGCTACAGAATGGCACAAACAATCTCAAACTATATATTTTGCTTCAGAAGACTGTCTCTTCGGTTTTGGCCCACCCTTTTCTCAGCTGCCGTCGATTTGCGTCAAAAACACTTTTTTCTAGTTTTCTCAATTTACAATAGTTGAAGAAAAACTTTTAATCCGTTTTCAGCAAAAAATGTTTTTTATTATCCATTTTTCACTTAAAATTACGCAAAAATTAACATTTTTAAAAATGTGGCTGACATTAATTCAATAACTATTTACGGAGAACAAATTTTACTTGAAGAAAAATCGTTTTCTTCAATATTGTAGTTTTAGGATTCGAAAAAAGTCACAATTTTTAAAAAAGAGATAAAAGTGAAAATCGGACCTATTCCAACTTTGTGAGTGTATTTCACTCCATTCTTACTAGAAATTTAAAGAAAAATTGGATTCATCCAAAACTTAAAATGTCACAAGAGGTTCGCGTAAAGTATCCCCATAATTTGAAGAACGATTTTCAATATTGCAGAACTTTGATTGGGGGGGAAAAACGACAAGGGAATATTTATTTTGTAAAAGATCCTACGAATAGTTTAGGCGCTAATATTGTACACGGACGGACACACGAAGAGACGGACGGACGGACGTTTACACAAAAAAATACATAATATCGGAAGCACAAAACGTGTATTTTCGTCGGATTCTCGAAATCGATTTTTCGCATCATTACGAAACTTTCTCTATACTCGTGCGTCTATTATTCCTTTATATATATATATAAAATGAGAAAGTAATAAGGTCTTTGAAGTTACCTTCATTTACATCTCTCTGAATTAGTTATTCGTGCATGCATTCTTGTTTTTTTTCACACCAAAAGAGAAACACATGATTGATTGGAATGACAGAGACATGCCAAAAAGATACAAAACGTACAGAAAAATACATTCAATGGCAAAGACGTTCAGATGTACACATTTTCAGATACACAAGCGATGCCTTGTAATAATTCTAGTTTAACATAATTGCGCTTCAAACGTACCTCAATGTCATAATTCATAAAACGTGTCGCAACCCAATCGGCCACTCTCTTTCCTGTTTAGCAAGAGCTATCGGAAGTAACACGCGAATGTCTTCCGTGTAAAAACTCACTGATCCACATTGCTAATGAAGGCGGGGAGCGGACGAGCAGAGTTATCAAACATGTGCGCGCTGATATGAAGCCCGCGCAGAGGCGATTGTGAACCTGGAGATGCGAGCGCGGAGATAAGTCGGCAGGCGGCGATGAGAGGAAGTGAACAGCCTTGCAATTAGCTGATTCCAAGTGGGAGGCCAAGGTGATTTCACCATCACTTTACACATGCATGCACAACAATCTACTGTGATATTGCTATCGTTGTTCATTCTTCAAATATGTTTACCCATGCTATCAGTGTACATTGTTATTTAATTGACTTGTGCGCATTTTTTTTTAATTTTCAGTTGTTCTATCTCAATATTCATTACGTTCTATCTCAATAGTCATTACGTCTTACAGGTAAAATGGTAATGTTTGGCCAATATTACCCAATATTATAGGAGGAAATTACACCTTTTCCTCCTACACAGACAGACGAAATAATCGTAGACCTAACATCTCCGCGGGTAAGATTTCCTGACTCTTGAAAGAAACATCCTCCGGTATGGATGGACCCGAGGGTGAATCAATAAGTAATGAACAACAGTTTATGTAGCAAAAACTGTAATAGGCAATACTCCAAGAACACAAATTGCGTCATTTCAGCTGAAAAAAAAACAAGCACTTTCTTCTTAGACGAACACACGTTTCTTTCGTTATTTTGCTTCGTTTCTGCACAGCATTTCTTGATGATTTCACTCTTAGTAAATCCGGAGGGTTGTGCTTAAAGTAAGTCGAAACATTTAACAAACATACTCGGAAGTATTGACAAAGAAATAAATATTTATTTTGAATACAAATCACAAAAAATCGCAAATTTGTGATAGAATCTGGTTTTGATTACTATAGGCCTTTGCGCGTGATCTCGCCAGCTGACTGTCAATACTACAGTGAACGTACTACTAGTAAATTGCGCATATTACTTGTGAGTCTACAACAGCGCCCTCGAAAGCGTCCTGACAAGATTTGTGCTGTAATAAATAGTTCTAATGGAACTGTACGAGCGTTCCACGCCTTGCAAATCATTGATTTAAAAGAGAAAATTACATGGCTCTGCATTGCAAATCAACCTGGCACGGCGAAGAGCTGAACTATGTTTTGGATCATCTACCCAGAAGGCATACTGATATACAGACGTGTTCAAATTATTACACTAAAACATGTCTTTCCTAAGTACTATGATATAATTGGAGATAAACACGTTACCCAGAATGAGTCACCTATCATGAGTCACTTTATCACGAATTGGAGATTAAACTCATATCAGATGCTCATGCTTCCTATATGAGATGTTCAAAAGTGCTAAAACTCTGTTTGTGCTAATACAAAGAAGCAGATGGTCAAGA